AAGAGGGGGTAGTCCAGGTCGTAAAAGTCATGTCAGTTTAGGGCTTAAAATAAAATTGTTGATTTAGTCAGGTAAAAACATATTGTTTTCTGTAGATTAAAAGCATTATGTATTCAAAGTTGTGATTTACTGATGCCAAAGCACCAAATAAATGGCTCATGTTTTGCGCCCAATAGAAAAATAGCTGAAATAGAGTTCAAGAGAATGGCTTTTTCAACATCAACAATCATTGCATTATCGGCATTATGGCGGCCTCAGCCATGCTTCGCTCCTGGAAAACTAGTCTATAAAGATTATCTACAATAAGGTAGTTATATGGGCCTCAGTCCTTCCGGGTCTCAGCCAACCGGGTACAAGAACAAATTATGGTTGGCTGGATTTCTGAAAAAACAGCGCGAGAGATMATTATTATTATGGCAATACCCATACATACATACCCCACATTCTTTGAATTTCTATTTCAAGATCTTTGTATTTAGATAATTTTCTGTTGTTTTTACGGAGGAGAGGTGTTTCTCTCAGTTGGAATAGACATATCAATAAGCAAGCAGGTTTCCTCTTTTTTTTCTTCACCACTATATCGGGTCTATTGGCCTTTATTTCCCTGTCAGTTTGTATTGGCATATCCCACAGTATAGTAGCTTATTATTATATGCAGTACTGATACGTATAGATGCAAAATGTATGGCACACATAGGGCGTAAACGTAACCTATGCGGTCTAAAAGGAAACTAATTACAATTGAAAACTATATGGTCAATAACTATATCGCTCCTAAATTACTAATTATAATTTAAAAAAATTACATTATTTTAATAGGTATTAAAATACCTATCACTCCAAAATTGTATTTCTAAAAATATATCTATAATTATGAGCCTACATATTACATTTTAAAATATAAAATGTCTTAAATCCTAAGAAAAAAAGTTTCTTCTAATCACTAAAATGTCAGTAATATTGTTTCAGACTTATGTAACTGATGCTTTCAATGTACCTGCTATGTTGAGCGAGCACGAAATGGTAGCTTTCTGCATTTTTTCCAAAATACACTTTGATCRGGCACCAACCAGCTTCTCCATATCTTGTTTTAAATCTCTCGACCATCCCCCGAGTACGTCAATTACGATGTTGCATTGTTGTACCTTGTATCCAGGGTGTTGTTTTAATTCCAAAAGTAGTGCTCCGTATCACCCTAGATACGACCGCTTCCGGCGGTCGCATAAAGTGCCTCGGTTAATATTTTCCTCTGGCTACGGCGCTGGTCTTGGTAGCTTTGGTAGAMCTTCTCAAACTTTCGACTGCAATTCCCGATTGCTTCGCAGAGATGATTGATGTACGGGTTGTTGGTTCTTGGTCGAGGTAACAGSTGTATCGACTTCAGGTGTTTCCTTTGGTACTGGTGCTGTTGGGTGGTTCTTTGGTGATTGTGTAATTGGTGGTGGAGGTTCCGGTGTCTTTCTCAGGTGAACTCTGTTTTTTTCTAACTGTTCCTGTAGATGATCAACTTCATAAGACCTTTCGTCGAGTCTCTTGATCACTACTCCTTTGTCCCATACTTTGTGACCAAGTTTGAATGGCTTTAGTCGAACAGTAGCACCTTCTTCCAGGCTTGTGAGTTCGCTTGGACCTTTGTTGTAGTGCTTGGTTTATATGTTCTTGCTGYATTTCATCTCAAGACTATCAACCAAGTATTCGCTTCCTCTTGGTGCAAGATTGTTGTGTGTTATTGGTATCAGTGTTCTTGTGCGTTGGTTGAGTAGCCTTTTCGCTGGGCTACTCCCTGCTCCTTGCGTTGGAGTGTTCCTTATCTCCAGAAGTGTAGTGTAATGGTCAGTACTGGAGAGGATGCCATGCATTTGGTGAGCATGGTCTTGGCAGCTTTAACTGCAGCTTCCACCTTACCATTTGCATTTGAGTGAAGAGCTGATGACGTACAATTCTCAAAATACCAGTTTGATTTGAAGTCAAGAAATTCCTGTGAGGCAAACTGTGGACTATTGTCACTGATAAGTGTACAGGGAATCCCATTTCTTGCGAAGTGGTGTTCCAGCTTGTTGATTACAGAAGTTGAAGAAGTTGATTGAAGGTAGTCGATTTCCCAGAATCCACTGTAATAATCCAYAGTGACTAAATATTCTTTGTTCTTTAAGGTGAAGATATCAGCTCCAACCTTTTCTCACGGGTATTCTCCCTCAATGGGCATCAGTGGTTCCTTCTGCTGTGATTTGGTTGGCAGGTATGTTTGACAGGCTTCGCATGAATCTGCTATCGGCCTGATGTYAGATGCCATGCCAGGCTAGAAGAGGCATTCGCCTGTTCTTCTAAGCATACTATCACCACCAAGATGTGAGCTGTGAGGCTACTCCTTAAATGGTGTTGCAAAGACTTGCAGGAACTATGACACGTTTCCCTTTGAATATCAAGCTGTCATGCACAGTAAGTTCTTTTCTGTAGGAGAAGTAGGGTGTTGCTTGAGTTGGCAAGTTTTCTTTGGTTTCCTGGCCATCCCTGTAGAATGACATTCTTGAGGATAACCAGTGTGTTGTCTGCCTTAGTGGCATGTTGCATTTCTTTTTGCTTTTGCTCGCTGATTCTGAGGTGACGAACTGCATTGATTCGAGCAAAACAGTCCTTGTGATGCCCTCGATAGCATGTCGGCAAGATACATCTCTTTGCCTTTTTTGTAGACGGCTTCGATGTCGTACTGTAGTAGTCTTAGTAGCATTCCTTGGAGGCGTTTCGGTGCTTTACATAGTGGCTTCTTGACAATCATTTCCAGTGGCTTGTGATCTGTATGTACGATTGTCATATGACCAAACGTGTATTGRTGAAACCTCTCAAGTGAGAATACCATTGCCAAACACTCCTTTTCGATCTGAGCATATCCACACTCGGTGTCATAGAGTGCTCGACTGGCGTAAGCCAGAGGATGATCGTCTTGAAGCAGGACAGCTCCAAGCCCGGTGCTTGACGCATTACATTGAATGATTAGTTCCTTCGCAGGATCATATGACAGTACTGGAGATGTTGTGACAAGATGCTTAAGTTCAATCATGGCTTTCTYTTGYTCATCAGATCATTCCCATTGTTGACCTTGATGAGTGAGTCGTCTCAAAGGTTCCATGACAGTAGATAATTTGGGTAGAAAGTTTGCAAGGCAAGTGACAGTTCCCTGCAGACGTCGGATCTGCAACATTCAGAAGACAAACACTCGACTAACCGCCTACGGAGGAGCACAAGTACCAGTTCGTGGCAAATGCTACATGAATATCGAGTACAATAATAAGCGAGTCAACGGCAAATTCTACATCGTTGAAATTGACAACGCCAAGCCATTAATCGGATTACAGACAAGCCGTGACCTCAACCTTATTAGCATAAATAAAGTCTGTGAAATCCAACATACCAAAACAAGTCTACTCGATCAATACCAAGACGTTTTCAAAGGAGTTGGCCTTGTAAGCGGAGAATACCACATCGAACTCAAGAGCGACGCAAAGCCAACAATACATCCTCCTAGAAACACCGCATTGAGTCTAATGCCACGATTAAAAGAAACGCTAGAAAACCTTACAAAGTCAGGAATCATCAGTAAAGTTGACAGAGCAACTGACTGGGTCAACAGCCTAGTCATAATTGAAAAAAGAGATGGATCATTGAGACTATGTCTAGATCCCAAGGAATTGAACCAGGCCATCAAGAGAGAATATTACAATCCACCAACAGCTGAAGAAATTTCTAGTAGACTCAGTGGCATGGAACTGTTCACTGTGATTGACATGACAAGCTGTTACTGGCACAAGAAACTAGACGAAGCGTCATCCTACTTATGTACGTTCAATACTCCTTTTGGACGATACAAATTTAACAGAATGCCCTTTGGAATCTGCTCAGCATCAGATGTAGCTCAAAAAATGGTCGACGATAACTTCTCAGATATTCCTGGTGTACTTGCAGTCTATGACGACATCATCATTGCCGCCAAAGATGGAGAAGAGCATGACAAAACCCTCATCAAAGTTCTTAACCGTGCCAGAGAGCGAAATATCAGATTCAACAAAGAAAAAATGCAGCTGCGAGTCAAGGAAGTCAAATACTTAGGCAACATCATCTCTGCAAATGGGTTCAGCCCTGATCCAGAAAAAATTGAGGCCATCCTAGATATGCCCAAAGCCACAAAACAAGCAAGATTTACAACGGCTCCTTGACATGGTAAATTTCCTGTCACAATACATACCCAACTTGTCGGAGATTACAGCTCCACTAAGATCACTACTCAAGAAAGAAACGCTATGGGCGTGGTTACCAGAGCACGATGGTGCACTTGATAAAATTAAAGTTGCACTAACCAGCAGTCCTGTTCTAAAATTCTTTGACATCAATCAGAAAATAACCCTGCAGGTTGATGCATCACAAGGAGGCCTGGGTGCTTGTCTACTCCAAAATGGACATCCCATAATCTACGCATCAAGATCACTTAATACTGGCGAAACTCACTATGCCCAAATTGAAAAAGAGCTCCTTGCTGTTGTATTTGCTTGTGAGCGCTTCCATCAATATGTTTATGGCAGAGAAGTTGATGTGCAAAGTGATCACAAACCGCGCGAGTCCATAATGGTCAAGCCAGTCTGCAAANGTTTCAAGGTTTGAATGGCAAAACGAACAATGAGGATGATTTACCTTGAACTTGTTCATCCTCATTGTTTGGCAAATAAGAGTTGATTAAAAGAAAAGAACTACCTTGAATTTCTACTAATGCGATAACAAATCTTCCTTGGGAATCGATTATTTTGTCTCTAATTACGTAATTTAACTTACTTCCTAACATAATAGCCGTTCCTTTACTCCTTGGCGTTCCGTGCGACATTAAAAGTTCATTCCTAGTTCTCAGAGACCATTCCTTTTCTGTTTCTTTGGTACTGTGTGTTTCTTGCAAAAATGAGATACCGTACTCACTATTGTGTTTTGTAAGCCAATTGAAAATTTTTCTATTCTTTTTATATTCCCTGAGGCCACGGACATTAATTGACAGTATGGAAAAATTATAAACATTCATTTTAAGTTACACGAAAAAAGTAATAAAACAGGAATATTAATGACACGGAGCTATGCAACATCAAGATCTCGCTAAACAATTGACAAATAACAAACAAAGGTACCAGCGTCTTCTAATAAGATTGCAAAAATACCAAGTTACTGTCCAGTATGTCCCAGGAAAGTTTATGTTCATAGCCGACACACTGTCAAGAGCACATCTACAAGAGGATGGAGGACAACAGGATCTCCATGATGGCATTGAAGTCATGGTCCATAGTCTTGTTAACAACCTGCCAGCAACGCCTGAGAAGATAAAGGAATTAAAAAGTGCCACACAACAAGACAAGACGCTACAGACTCTCAAAAGAACATTAGAACAAGGTTGGCCTGAACATCGACAGTCTGYACCACAATGCATCACAGCACCATACTGGAATGTAAGACATGAGCTAAGTGAAGCTGAAGACCTACTCTTCAAAGACAACAAGTTAATAATTCCATCATCAATGAGAAAAGATACTCTCAAATTGATACATGAAAGTCATCAAGGCATCGAAAAGTGCAAGAACAGAGCCAGGTCAACCATTTACTGGCCAGGTATSAACAATGACATTTCTGAAGTTGTTTCTAACTGTACTGTGTGTGCCACTTTCAGAAACCAGAACCAGAAGGAGCCCATGATACCACATGACATACCAGAGCTCCCTTGGCAGAAGGTAGCGTCAGATCTCTGCGAATACCAAGGTAAAACATATCTTGTGGTAGTGGATTACTTTTCTAAATTCATCGAAACTAGTCTGATTCCTGACAAAACTGCAAAAACTGTTATCACTCACATGAAATCCATCTTCTCTCGTCACGGAATACCAGAAGAGTTAATATCTGACAACATGCCCTATAACAGCAGAGAATTTAAAGACTTCGCAAAAGACTGGGGTTTCAAAGTAACCACTTCAAGCCCCACATATGCTCAATCTAATGGCATGAGCGAAAAGGCTGTCCAGACTGTAAAGAGGATTCTAAAGAAAGCCAGAGATCCCTATATTGGTCTACTTGAATACAGAAACACCCCTGTTACTGGAATGTCACACTCACCATCCCAGTTTCTAATGAGTAGAGCAACCAGATCAAAGTTACCAACTTCAAAGAATCTTCTACAGCCCAAAGTTGCTACTGGAGTTAAAAAAGAGCTGATGAACTGTCAACAGAAACAAAAACAATACTATGATGTTGGAGCTAAACCCTTACAACCACTTAAAGTGAATGGAAATGTGCGTTTGCGCCAAGGTAATATGTGGCTCCCAGCTCTTATCTCACAAACAGCAGCCACACCCAGATCATATATAGTAGCGACTCCAAATGGAAAAGAATACAGGCGTAACAGACGTCACATTCTGAAAACCGACGCAACCACTGACTTTTCAACAGCCTTTGAGCCTCAAGTGGAAGATGAACAACAATGTGGAGAGAACTCAGTCTCCGAAGGTARCTCAGCCGAAACAACGACCCCTATCTATGATGACAACCAAGGAACGACAGTCCCAACACCAGTAAGACCTACACTGTACAAGAGTTCGAAGACAACCCTTCAGATACAGAGACTATGTGATATCATTTCAACTTTATATAAACTTTTACACGCTTGTACCTTGTTATTTTACTTTGTTATGAAAGAAGGGGGATGTAATGATATGTGCCCCTTAAGGGAGCCCCCCCGAACATTGAGTTATGTAGTATGTAGGATTAACACATGTAATARACACACTTTTCTAGTTGGGTTTACTTCAAAACTTACTCTTTATTATCCCTGTATACTATATGTAGATACTGTAAGATTCGACCTTTAAACTGATGCCGGATGGAAACGGATTGCAAATGGATATTCGAAGTCACCTCATTCTGAAAAATCTAAACCACAATCACATTGGGCTGCTTTAATGATTAAATGATGACATACTAGGTGTTCCTCAGTACATGTCAGTATGAAGCCTGTAGCTTATTTTTACAACCACTTCTCCAAGAATCGTAACGAAAGTTTGAGTTTTAAATTACTTTTAGAGTTTTTGAAGCAGTTCAATAAACTCTCAAATTGTGTTTTATCGGGTATGATTTATACCCGAAAAATTCATYTTTTCACACAACTGTGACTTCAAAGAATTTGATACATCAAGCAATGCGAAAACGCGATCAGGTCACTGCGCTTCGAATTATAACTTTGAAGTTTATACCAATAAATTATTACATATTTCACGGAAAGGCATTTATCAGTTCTGGATTTGCCAGTTGCAGTTACTTTTGACCCTTGTTTCCCAATCCTGATTATATACCCTAGCTTTCCTCGTCCTGATTTTTTTTTCTTAATTTCCATAGTCAATCCCATTYTTTGCCCTTGTTTCCCCAGCCCAGGTTATGTTCGTACTTGTTTTCTAAGTCCAGACTGATTATTTTTGTTCTGGCTATAATTTAGGTCTATACGTAAATTTTATCTGCATGAATTCCATGTATGTGGTTGAGTTTCAAACTGGCAAAAAACAAAACAAATCAATGAATACCAACAGTGAATGGGCCTAAAATGAAGTACTCATTGAATGCAAAAAAAGTTTAAGCCATTGAACAGACAGGTTTTCTTGATTTTTAAATCCTTAAAAGTCCTTTATCAGGGTATTCATTGATTTTCATTTGTTTTTTAGCTTTAAGTAAATCTCTTATACTTTTAATGATTTGCCATCAGCACAATATTTGCTTGGCGCTAATGGTTTTTAAAATCTATATATTTTCCTTTCATATTGATGATGATAAATTTAGATCAGCAAACATTACCTGCTATTTACCTCTTCTCACTATAATGCTTTCAAGTCACATACTGTAGATGACCTCTTACATGTATGAAATATTAACATAATTTCATAACATTCTTGCTTKCAATGTTCACAATATATAGTTACTGTGTACACAACAACACAGAACATATAATAGAAAATTTTATTTTGMAAAAACCATGCTTATGTAATACTTGTAATACCATAAGAAAGAAACAAGGTTTACAGAGTACAAAATAGCAAGATTATGTAAACAAGTTCTAAACAAGAATAATACCAGTTTGTCTGGTCCTTTTGTGAGACAATTGACCTGGAACAAAAGAGAGGATTACATGTAGATACAAAAACAAGATTAAATTRAGTAATTTTTGGATTTACCTTTGTTGTTAGTTKTAATATTCCAAACTTTTCATACATGACTTTGTGCTTGAATTACAATTATTCCTTTTTGCTTTCAATTGCCAAATAACCAAGATTGAGCGGAAACTTTAGCTCTGGACTGGGTTGTTCTTGTTTATTGTTATGCAGAGCAAAAGACACTTGAAGAATRCAATTTTAGCCTTCATCATACAGTGTACATCATATAGTGACCTGTTTATATATACATGAAACGTGGTTTTGTTTGTGACTTGAATGGAAGAAACAGTCATATCATATATTATAAAACAGTCAAGAATGTATATTATGTCCATACATTGTTCCATCTATTGAAGCTAACCATGAAAGATCATCTCTTCGTAAAGTTTAATTTACCACAGAAGTTAACCCGTTATATCGAAATTTACCACCACACCTGTAGGGARAGAGACCCAAAGGAGAAATATCAGTTCAATGTAAAAATCTTAACATTCAAATCAATGGAATGGAATTGGGTATGCTGAAAAGAGACATGTTGCTTAGGCAAATAAGAAACTGTAATGTGGTATGTAAATTTGAGTAGCTTTCAGTAGGGCAGGATAAGAAAGTGAAGTGGAGATAGCTACAGAAAAGGACAATCATAAACCATATACAAATATTTCTGGAAAGTCACTTTTGCCCAGTAAATGGGTTTTATTTAAGGTACTATTTAAGTTCTATTTTTTAGTTATTCAATTTATCTAATTCAATCTCTGATGGCCTGCAGTGGTTGCCTTACAATTAGAACTTAAATATTTTCAAACAGTTTCATAAAAAGTATTAAAAGCATAAAATATGTACCTAAACTTTCAAGAATGCACTTTGCAAAGTGCTTCCATCATATACTGTATAATAGCCAAATCTAATGTACAAGTAGTTTATTCAACTGAATAAGTTGAGTTTGCCAAACTCAAAGTTAGTGAAGACAAGTACAGATCTGATGCTTGACAAAACTTTGAGGACCAATTAAGTGGTTAATGGAAACAATGGAAGAACAACTGTTGGCTAGCTAAGCTAGGAAGGACAGTTATATATTATGTATTATTTTCAATGACAATCACCATTTAAACTAATCTTCCAAAACTTTATACATTACAACACCAAATTACAAAAACGTTGTCATGTGATTTAGTGATACTAATGAATCTGATCATAATAGTTATGATTTTTCGTAAACACTGACGAATAGTGCTCAATACACATTTGTGTAGAGTGGTATAGACTTAGTAAAGTATTCATGAGATGACACACATATAAATACTTTCTTATAGGTTTTTTCTTCATTAACATCTGCCTGATGAGTGCGTGAGCACGAAACTCRGAGTTGCAGCGAATATGTGTGTMGTCTCCTGAATACTTTACTAAGTCTAATGAATCTGATCATATTTCTTATGCATTCTTATTAATTTCTTAGAACAAAAGTTCTTCTTCTTGCACAACATTCTTTTTTTGTAAATAGGTGTATGTATGCACATATCTAATCATATACTTTCATTATCAATTTAATATCTATATTTCTCACTTTGCTATTTTACAACATAATTTGCTTTCATAGATAATTATATGATAAACAGAATATTACATCTTCGCTTGGAGATATGGATTTTGTCTTGTTGTGTTGTAAATTTCTCACTCATTTGCTATGCTCATAAGTGAGAAATCTTTTTGATAACACAAGATAAACTCTGTATTACTGCCCATGCTCATACAATATTCTCTACATATTAAAAATGAAACTAGACGCTCTTAGAGCATGTAGTCGGGCTAGCTATTTTGGAATGTCTCTTGGAGATACAAATTTTATCTTATCGTGTGTTGAAAATTTTTCATTTGTTCSCATATCTTTCTCAATTTTCCGAAATACCGACTTCACACTCTAAGAGCGTCCACTTTTCATCCAACAGATATATGGCATTATCTTGTCTCGGGCCTTCTATGAAGCAATAACCAGAATTATGGAGACCTACCATCTTCCTTTTTGTCATGAATGAAAGCAATAAATAAAAAAGTAACAGAGAGAATATAATTGATTGTAAAACTCAYGAATAATTAATGAGGAAAACACAATAGAAATCACAACCGTGAATAGTGTTGTAATATTTGATACAAAACTGTCTTGATTTGCATAAACTTCAAATCTAATTTTCTCAGCTAAATTCAATTTTATCTTTAAGTTTTTAGTAGATTATGAATGCATATACCTAAATGTTTCACAAGTAATTTACAGTAATTTTTTCGGCTCGAGATTGTAAAATCCCATACAACATGGCTGCTCATGTTGTAAACATTACATAAAATGCACACAAAATTATGGGTGTAAAGTGTAGTTCGATAGTATGCTTGCCCGACTTATAATTATTGTTCTTGACTGGTTAAAACCTTTCTTGGGGTTTATATAGGAGATTACTGAAGATTAAGGAGGCTCACTGGATGTGAACAATACCCCTTACTTTTAAAAAAGTATCGAGAATTCTTGGTTTTCACTAATCACATGATGAAAAGCTATTTAGAGACCAACTTAAAAAAAAAATATTATTGCCCTGTAGAGAACATTAAGGATTATTAAGAAATTTTGAGCCAAAATAATAATTTTTTTTAATGGAAATATGGGTGATCAGAAATTGTTAGGAATGTATGGGATTATCAATGCATTTTAGACTGTGGTCAAGAAATATCTTTTAAAACAAGGGCGGTTCAAGCTTGTGGATGCAGGGGATACACTCCCCCTATGAGATCTGTATCCTTCAATAATGTCCTTATTTTGTATCCTCAATAGTAATGATTTTTGTAGTATGCACCCCTCCTGAGAGCCCTGCACCCCTCCATGAGGAAAATGCTGGATCCGCCCNGAAAGCAATGATGATGTCTGCCATGTTGGTGTAACAGATCAGTACACTAACTCTGAGTGTCCAATTGAGCTCAAAACTAATAATTTAGCTTTACCTTTACAACAATACCATGGTAATTAAACATTTAATTTTATGCTGAGACTATAATTGTATAAAGATTAATAGTCTTTTCAAAGTTTTTTGGCATATCAAGTTGCATGACAGTTTTGCGTGACTCAATGAATAAACAGCAAAAAAGGGTTAACATTGATTGAGAACTTCCATCATACTCTCAAGGTATTTAATACTGATGTTGTATCTTTTTTGACTGATAACACTATGTGAAAACCAAGAATAAGGAAGCATAAAAAGCCCYATACAGTAAAAACCTATATATAAGACCCTATATATAACAACCAGGCTAGAAAAAGACAAAATAACTACCATTATGAACAAAATACACCAAAAAATGAGAATTTCATGCTCATCCTTGGGAATGCAGGGGTAATCTTCTGTTGTTCGGTCCTCGCTCCCAGAAAAAATATCCCTGGGCACAAAGTCTGTTAGAACTTGTTCTCAATACGAAATTCAAAATGACGGGCRGTAAATTTCTGATTGGGTGAGTGATTCACTCAAACATTCTGATTCGTTGATTAACTTACCRGCTACCATTTTGAATTGCTAACAGATTTCGTGCCCTGGGGTATTTTTTCTGGGAGCAAAGAACAAATGACAGATGATTACCACTTGGTTCCCGAGGATRTTAGATGCTGAAAACAAGAACACAAACAAAGAACTCAAAAGATGGGTGTTCTTATATTTTTTTTTCTGTATATGTATTTGATTCGCTCTAGCAATTCTTGGCTAATTGTATATTGCAAATTTTGTTTGGGATAGTTGCAAAGCAATGCAAACCAACCTAAAATTCAAWATTTCTTGACTTGTTAAAGGACTTATCCATATAAGTTAACAAAGCACCAAAATGTGTAATGCAATTGAAACCCCTGCCCAGCAAAAAAATCTTGAAAATACCCTGAAAGCATTGGTATTCAACCCTGTTTTTGCATTTGTTTATTTTTCATTGCAATTCTCATGTATCACAGAAMATTTTGAGTTGGATTGAAAGGTGTTTGTTTGTAATAGCTGGGCCACATAGCGGGGAACGTTAAATTTCCCAGTATTTTCTTGGGGGTCGGGTTTCAATTGAATAGTGCATAGCAAATAATCTTTGTATCTGCTTAAAAACATCCGGAAACAAACATTAATTACTGGACATGTGAACATGTCCCAGTGCCACAGTTCCATTTATAGTTGGTTGACCGTATGCAAACCGTTGTTTTATTACAACAGAAAAATTTGACTATCTACTTGTCCATGCCCTTCTAACTTTATTCTATCTTTGCTTAAATGAACAGTGGCGAACGCATTCAAGTTCTTGTCGGCTTCAAGAACACAGGCTAGAGTGCGATGGTGGATACCACTGCTATCATGGTGAAACAGATTTTCATGGACGTGTCCTGAAAGACTCACCTTAACACTTGGATGACATGATAGTAGTTCCAGTATTTCTTCGCAATTCCACGGAACATCTCCGTTTTCGAGGGCACATTTAGGATGTAGCGTAGAGTGACTAAATAGCACTACCTTTTCGTCACGAAGATCAGCCTCTGTTAGAACTTTATCCAGCCATTTCAGTTGCTGTTTTCCCAAACCGCCACTATCACTTGTGAAACGTTGATCGACAGCTGCCTTGAGTCCATCAAAAGAGCGARTGTCTTCGTTGTTATTGTGTTTTCGAATGATGTTAAGCGCGTTTTGATACTCCAGGCTGGACTTGCTTCTTCCAAGAAGACTTTCATCAAATGTATCAAGAACCACAAAGCGAAATCCWGGGGATTCTTTTATCTTGAAGGTGAAATAAAACACCGKCGTCTCGCTGGTGAAGTCTTGAACAATATGAGCGCACTTTTCCTTGGGTTTCCTCTTGGGTTCATATTGTTTTCGACATAATGGTGAAAGCGCCAACTTTCTCCGGCTAAAATTTATCAGTTCGTGATTACCAAGAACATGAATCACTTCTACATCGGATTTGTCGAATTCCGACAGAACTACGTCTAAAGCTTGATGAGACTTCCCATTTTCGACATTAACACCATCGATAACATCRCCAAGTTGAACAATAAACGAGGTCCTTTCGTTGTTCCAGTGCTTCACCGCATCGCTCAACAATTTTCTTGAGTTCTGATAAAACCTTGGTTTACCAGGGGATACACGATCGTGAGCAAAAGCAAACTGCACATCAGCGATCAATCCAAAACTCAACGACATGACGGTCGACAAAAAAATAACAACTTGTTACATAACAACCCATAATAAGCCAAAAAGTCATGCCACGTGACAATCTGGACGCAAACCGGTATTTCACAGACGATCGTCTGGGTTGCATATCCATCAAAGTTGATAACACGGTAATCCTTTTAATCCTGGGATTCCCTGCTAGCAGAGGCTTACACGGTAAATTCTGTCACGTAACACAGACAGAATTTACCGTGTAAGCCTCTGCTAGCAGGGAAATCCTGGGACAGTGCCGAAACGGTATTTCTACTATTTCTACGTTGTTTTTTGTGAAAATATTACCCTGTCCAAGGCATTATATCGGTCTTTTATCTAAATTGTAGAGCCTGTTTAAGACAATTTCGGGTGTAGACAGCAAGGAGCAAGGCCAAAAACCATACCCTGGCCAGCGGCACGTCCCCGTATAGCAAATATATGGGAGGGTATCCGCAACTTTCGCCKATGAGAATGTTCGCCGAGCCTAGCCTAAGAGAATCGAACCGCTTGGAACGTCTGCTACGGAGGCTACGCCGAGCCTACTTTCGCCGAGTAGTCGGGACTGTTCGCCGAGGTGTTATATTCAGTTTGCCGAGGTGTTATGTATGAGTCAATTCCAAAGGTGYCCATCCCCCCCCCCCGGGCAAACCCCGGGCATTTGACACGACTTTACCTCCGTACAGTGGGGAATTTGACTCTGATTTAGGAGCAGACGGGCGGGCATTTGACGAGTAGGCACCATCTTGGAAATTATCGATTCAGATGCGAAAGCGCTATTTCGTGACACAATACGAACTTTTAAGTTTAAGTTAAAAATAAAAATATCTCGGGAACCTAAGCATTTTAATAATAATAATACGTATTATTTATATAGCGCCGATATCCTTACAGTTCAAAGGCGCTTCACATGATCACGGATCGCTATTAGCAGCCACGAGGCTTACAATCATTTTTGGGAACATTCTCGATCTTTTGTACTTTCACGATGAGAAATCACGATA